CGGGCGTCGCTGGTTTTGCGTCGGGTTTTGGTCGGGCAGCGGTGCTGATTGTGCAACCGGTCCCGTTTCGGTCATCCTCCCCGCAACAGGGCGGTGCGTGCGTGTTGTCAGAATCGTCGTTTATGTGTGGGTGTGCTGCAGCTGCCGGCAAGGAGGCGCCGGGGGTCATGTTGACAAGGGCTTGTTGGCAGGCTTGGAGGACGCGGTACGTGCTGTGTGCGCGTGGGATGTGGCGGCCGAGCCACGCTGCATGGTAAGATCCTTTGCGCGGCTGGCGCCAGCCCTTGCGAGCATTGGGCGTGCTGCTTGTGAGTTTGTATATTGCCGCGGGCAGCGCAGGCTGCTTCCCTTTCGATAGTCGCATGGCTGTGCGCATCACGTGCAGTGCCTTAGCGCGCACTGCCTCCTGGCTCTTGTTGCGCTGGTACGTGGGCGCGAGCATGGCCAGCGGCGCGGGCACACATGGGTGGGCGGGTGCTGACCAGCGTATGGAAGCCTGGCCTCGTGCAGCTGCCTGCTGGAGCTTGCACAGTCTTTCCCCCCAAGCGCGGCGCCTTCTCAAGGCAAAAACAGCCGCCGCCGTGCTGTATGCTGCTGCAAGGACTCCCTGGAGGCAGGGCACGACTGCCATCAGCATTACCGTTGCTGCTGCTGCCATCTCGGGCACTGCCATGTGGGCTATATTTGAGAGGGTTGGGTCGGCCGCCGCCCCTGCAGGGTGTGCCATAAGCATTATTATAATAGTCAGCCACGTCCTGCTTATCTTCCACGCACGCCTCCTGCGGCATTTGTTGTTGCCCCACCTTGCGGCTGCCCACAAAAGCACACCCAGGAGAGCCGCCGTCGCGGTCCCGTCCCCGCCTCTGTTTGTCAACCCAGTGCGGTTTTCTCCCGGCGTGTCCCATTTATGAGTTTGTTGGACAGCATCAGTGCCACTCTGGGTGGGGGCGCAGCGATCTGGCGCACGCGTGAGCCCGGGTGGCAGCGACGTGGCTAGGCTGCACGCAGCAGCTGCTCGTGGCGTTTGGAGAGGAGAGCTCGTGCCACTGGAGGGCACCGTTGTCGTCAGTGTGGTCAGTGAATAACTGCTGTCGCAGTTATGCTGCTGCGCATGGAGTTGATGCGTTGCAGCATGGTCGATCCCAGCCGCTGGACTGCGGCACATGCACCATGGTGTGCTGCGGGTTTCACCAGGGCGGGTGACCCTAGTGAAGTGGTCGGCGTGGCTTATCTCTTTTGGACAGTTGCACGGACAAGTGGTAAGCTTATATAATCTTGATGTTGCAGCGCGCCGCCCGGTGATTGTTTCGCGGTCGCTCTGGGTGTCGGGGTAGTCGTACTGGACGCTTGGCAGCCTTAAACTACCCAGACCTAGTGCATCTTCATGCAGCAATGTAGTTTTCGCCGAATCATGCGTCAGGTGGAGTTTGGCACTATCGCAGCAGTGGCGCTTCACTGCAGCGCGCGTTCTTGTAAGCAGGCGCGCCCGAGCATAGGCCCCGTTCCCTTTCTCTCTTGCCCAGTTGCCCGCGAGGTTTAAGTGGGTTTCTTGAGTCCCCGTGTGCTGCAGCATGCCGTCGCCCACCAACGGGTCTGCATTCCCCTTCATATGCTGACCTTTGTTGCGGTTGCTTGCGCCGCTTGCTGGGATTATTGCGCCAACTGGCGTAGTGCAGGCATGGGCATCGGCGTCGTTTTCTTCTTGCCTTACAGATAGCCGGCAGTGGTGTGGGTTGGGTGCGGACGGTGCGTGGTGTGGGGGAGCTGTCAAGGCAGTCGCGGTGTGCCTGTCCCGCCCCTCTACAAGTTGGACGCCGTGGCCAGCTCCCAGCCTCTCGGTGGGATTGATGCATCGTGGCGGCTGCTGGCGCGGACCCTTGCCAGGTCCTGCCAAGGCTTTGGTGGCGCGCGGCGCATGCGGTGTTGTTGCAGGAGCCCCGGTAGCCGCCCCCGGCCCCTGGGGACCTGGGGCTGCCAAAGCACGCCTGGCCGTTGTGATCGCCCTAGTAGTACGCCAGTGCGGGCAGTGCGCGCTGGCAACGCCCCCCCACAGGCTGAGGGGGGGTTTGCGCGCGCGGGCACCTTCGTTCGCCAGACAAGAGTCCCCCATGGCCACTTCACTCCTGTGGGTGTTGCGAGGCAGCGCGGTTGCACATTTGTGTGTGTTGTGTAGTGTGGTGTGTTGCGTGTCAAGGGTGCACAAGTGTCGGGCGAAGCGCTTGTCGCGGATGGCACTTCTCACGGGCAGGCTACTCCCCTCGCGGATCAGGTGTGCGGGCTGACCGCTTTCCCTGCTGCCTAGCATGCGGCCGTGTTTGAGGCGTGCGCCCGGCGCGTGCCCAAACACCTGGTCCGGCACCTCGGTGTCGCCGTCCCCGTCGAGCACGCGCGGCCTGCCGCGCGGCCCGCCCTTGCTCGGCGTGGTGGTGGGGTGCTCCCCCGGCTGGCGCTTGCCGCCGGCCTCGGCCTCGCTCGCCCTGGGCGGCGAGGCCTCGCCCTCCTCGCCCATCCCCCCGCCGAAGGGCTGCGCGTTGCCCGCGGCCTCCCTGCGGTGCTGGCTGGCCGACCTGCGGCCGCCCCTGGCAACCGCGCGCGCGCTCAGGCGCATGTCCGCCAGTGCTGGCCCGCGGCGCGCGCGGTCCAGCAGCGCGTTTGCTGCTGTGATAACGGGGCCCAGGGCCGCCGCCTCCTCGCGCGCGCCGTCGGCGGCCCTGTCAGCCGCCGTGGCGGCGTCTTGCACGCGCTTGGCCATGGCTGCGTGCTCCTCGCTGCCGCCGTCGGCTGCGGCCGCCGCCGCGCGCGCCGCCTCCGCTGCCTGTCCCGCGGCCGCCGCTGCGACGTTCGCCTCTCTGACCGCC